CCCAACAAAACCTGTATGTCTTTTCTAATGGAACAGTTTCCGTGAACTACAACTCAGCCACAAGATGCAAGTAAATGTATTTAATATAACTACCAATTGTATGTCTTGTCAAGACACCTGTTCATCTCACTCAGGTTTTTGCTTAACATATCACTGAAACATTCAAGTGAAATTGGATGCAACATGTGTTTAGGGGAATTTTGTCTTAAGATTATTTAGCTCATGTAAACTTCCTTGCTTGAATATATGTTAAGGATATTTGTCGACTTTTGCCGAAGCACCAGATAAAGAGGGGTCTGCTCGTAGAATTAGTTATTTGTGACATTAGATATCTTTTGCATTTACAATTTCTGATGGAAACAAACAAACCCAGAACAGGCAAAACAAAAGATATCTCACTAAAAGCTGAAGTTGAAGTCTTCTTGCAAATTACCACCACCTCCCTTTTTACACCTCAGTGTTACCATTGATGAATAACAAGTCATTTACCTCATATACTGGTACTTACACTACATTAACTACTATAAAAAGAAAAGAAAAGAAAAGAAAAGAAAGAAAACACACACACAAACACAAACACACACACGTAAAAGAAAAAAAAAACTGTTGCCAAGATCACATCTGCCAGCCACCATGACCATGTGAGTAGGCAAATTGCTGCTGGGGCTAAAAGCCAAGAAAAATACTAAGGAGAAAGTTTTGAAACTTGGAAAGGTTTTAAAAACATTTGAGAACAAAATTCTAAAGTGACAAAAGTCTAAAACCGCAGTGTTTGGGAAAGAGATTACAGTGTTACACCTAATATTACAACCTTATGTTCTCTGGGTCTTTTCTTTTCTCTTCTGTGACTTCTGTTTGTCTGTGTCTTTTCCTTTAGTGATGTGCATTATTATTAATATTGTTATTTATTTGCTATACAGGTTCGTTGTCTACAAGTTGCCAAAAGACAGAAACTCAGCCTTTGGTCCTCTGCGTGAAGGGTCAGCCTACATGTATCTTACGCCAGAAACTGCAGTCAGGTTTGTTGAATATAAAATACATTTATGTATTGAGATGTACCTCTTGTTCTTGAATTGCATGTCATATTTTATGTTTTTTTCTCATTGACATAAAGAATATCTATGCCCAACAGACTACAGAGTGGAGGAGTGTCCAGTGTGCTCAGTCAGTACAGTGATTCAGCAAGTGGCTGGGTCCTTAGCAACATCAGCATCAACAATGAACGTTCTATGCTAGCTTGGACCCTAAGTCGGCTCTACAGTGATCCTGAGCGACTGAAGGTAAGATTTTACACTTCTTGTTACTGTCATAGCTGTTACTTGGCTATTGTTTGTTTGTGTGTGTGTGTGTGTGTGTGTGTGTGTGTGTGTGTGTGTGTGTGTGTGTGTGTGTGTGTGTGTGTGTGTGTGTGTGTGTGTGTGTGTGTGTGTGTGTGTGTTTGTGTGTGTTTGTGTGTGTTTGTGTGTGTGTGTGTAAATAGGTATATGTGTACCTATTTATCTAGCTACCTCTATTTTTTTTCCATTTTATTTCATATTCCTCATTTCTCATTGCTTTCCAGAATACAGCCTATATTATGTACAATGATGAATTTCCAAACAACACCAAAAGTTTCACCAAAGGGCACACCAAAGGAGTGGTGTTACTAACTGAACTAGGGGGCTTTTGGCTCATTCACTCAGTGCCCAAGTACCCTCCTCCGCCAGAGGATGGCTACTCGTACCCGTCTTCAGGGCAACATTATGGGCAGACCATGTTGTGCATCAGCTTACCTGCACATCAGGCTAACAATGTTGGTAAGGATCTGATTGTCATATTTTGCATTCCATAAAGTATACATTAATCACTGGGCTCCTTATTGTGATATATTGATGTAGATGAAGTTACAAGTAAACAGTGCAAGATGTTTACTGAATTTTGTAATATTCTTCTTTTATATATGACTTATCTATGTTTTTTGCCCCCAGGTCAGCTGCTGTTTTACAACGAACCCTTCATATATTCCTCTAACATGCCCCGTGCCCTGGAGCAAAAATTTGCCATGCTGGACAGGGTCATCCGTGGGGACCAACACCCTCAAGGACCACAGTGGTTTAGGATAGTCAATCTCATTTCTCAGCGCGGAAAACGCTTTATGGCATTTGCAAAATCCAGGAAATATAACGATGGTATGAACTGTTTCTTTTGTATGGCACAGTGTTCTAAATAAGTGGTTAGTCTTGTGTGTCAGAATTATACATAAGCACCAAAGAGAGCTATAACACTGCACTTGCACACTGTGAATGAAATAAGATGATTAAAAAAGTAGATAAGTTTACATCTGTGGTCTAGCTTCTATTAAGTATGAAAGGAGGTAGATTAATGATTAATTTTGTTTGTTTTATAATGATTGGAAACCATCAGGTATGTATGCTGTTCATACACTTAATGATCATTTGCATGACTATAGCACAAATAAGGACTCAGTTTAAAAGTCCTTTTTTCCTTTTAACAGAATCGA